GAATTTGTGGTTTTTTATACATAATCAACATAATATCAATTTTTCATTTTTTTGCGAAGTTTCCCTTTAAAACAATGATGTAAGAATTGTAAGACATTAAAGGGAAATTGTTTTCGCCGCTTGGCTTCTTTAATCTCAAGGTGTTGAGTGAGTTGGATCTTGTTATACCTGTTTGGATTGTTTTGAAATTGTTACAAGGTTTCAAAAAAGATAAATCCATACAGATAACTTGGTCTTCAGTTTCTGAACACTTTTTCTTCTTCAAAATACTGCCCACATTCAACATGATGAATATTCTGGCAAGAATATTTAATGCAAATCAAAAGAAAAATAATTATCTGGTAGCAGCAATACAACATAAATATTCAGCGAAATTTTCAACAAACTTTAACATAATTAATTCAAATAATTTATACTATACAAGACAACAAAATAAAATAGAAATCAGGTCGAACGGACTCAGTGCGAACAGGAATTAGGGCGAACAGGTACTAGGGCGAACGTGAATCAGGGCTAACGGACCCGGATTCGGAAATATGCAGCCGGACAGACAATTTTTGCAGATAAATAAATTATGGGTTGTAATGCTTGTTTGATTAACAGAAATCTGGACATGCATTTAATACATGAATACTGTCGGGGCTAACTCAACTATCGTTATACAGAAAGAACACAACCATACAGTTTAACGTTTACTTCATATATTCGAGCTGCTAAGGCTACGTCCCGCATTGACGTCAACCCTAGATACAATAGGTAAAACGCGACGTCTTAACTCCCGCGGTATTCTCAACATTCTCCGGGCCGCTAAAAGTAAATATTAAAATTAAATTACAATAAAGTAAAAATGAATGAAAATTACTGTCTATCAAATCTAAACTTGACTTTAACTTAATAACTTTAGCACAGTCATTAACTCCCAGATTAGTTATCTTCGAATTAAATCACAATGAGTCTATCTCGTATACACAAATCACAGTATGTCTATATTTTCCGTGCACCTGTTCCTTTTTTCAATGAAATAGTATCATATTATAGGTTTTTGAAAGTAAGTCAATAAATCAAACATTTTCGTAACAGTCCATAATAAGTCACAACAGTTCATTAGATACGTATCATTCAGTCCATCTTTTAATATTTTCCCTGTCGGTCCTGCTTCCTCATCTCTCTCGATAAATCCGCGACGTGTCTGTTCCTTTATCATTTCTTTTAAGCCAAATTCCTCTGATTTATTCGAAACCAGTACGTTCAAGATGCTGGATGTCGTAGACGAATGTACCCTGCCTGGTTGTAAGGGTCCTGATAGTAAGTATCCAAGCTTTGACTTAACCGCGATCGGTCCGTCTCCTCTTATTACTTTGTCTTCGATAAAGTTCCAATAGTAGTCGGCACCAATAAGTAACGATATCTCAAAAGAATCGTCCCGAGTAACTGGATGAGCGAGTCTTAATCCTTTGAGATAATCCATATTTCGGTTTACGTACCGCATATGATTATGTATTGGAACTGCTATAGTAGGAACAATAAGGACTTCAATAGGAAATTTACGCCTATTCTCTGTTTCAATGTGTACGGTGGATTTACGTAGTTCGCTCGTGCTGGTGTTATCCTTTCCAAATGCCGATAAATGTACAATTTCAACTCCTTCAGTTTTCAAATTCAATTTTTTCGCTAGATCATCAGTTAAAAAAGATCTTTGTGCACCCTCATCAAATAAAACATTCGTATCCATACATATATTACCTGACCATACAGGAGCTACAGCAGTCTTCAATAGCACATTTGTACGCATCTGTGTCGATGAATGCAAAACTTTAGTATCTTCCTCGTTTTCAGTGTCATTTATAAGATTGACGGGTGTAGATTGAATCTGTTTATTTGTATTGCTTGTAATGAATGCTAAACCTTCGCTGTTAACATTGCTACTTGCACTACATAGGCTGGAATGATGTCTCTGGTTGCAGTGTCGACACGTTCGTTTCGATTGACACTCATTAGCATGATGGTTACCTAAACAATTAAAACATAAATTATCACGTTTTACGATAGACATGCGAGCTTTATGATTACTAACATTGGTACAGTGTGCTGGTGCATGTATCTCTTTACAAAAAACACATGGTCTTTCTGTAATATTCCGGGGTTGGCTCTTCGCGTTGTGTGATGTGTTTTCTCGCGGTGATTCGGTTCCTGTATGAAATGTACAAGTAGATGCAGTTGCGAACTGACGGTTTAAAGACTCTGAGATATGTACCTGTATTTTGTCCTGCCTCCATGATTTGAATTTCATTCAATATGCTCCTTCTCAGATCTTTCAAATTCCAACTGGACGGTCCATGTTCTCTTGCTATGTGTTGTCTGATTTCACTTGGTAACTTTCTCATGATAATCGGTACCAGTAAAGTTCCATATGACGTCTCAGGTTGTCCGAGCGAATCTAAACCTCTTACGTAGGCTTCACATCGGTTATAAAATAATCTTAAGCTTGACAAGGTGTATCGTGGTTGGGCAATATCTAAAAGTGCCTGTAAGTAGGCTTCCGTAATTCTGTGTGTTTGTTCGAACCGTTCCTTGAGTACATTTATAGCCTCCATGTATTTACCATTTGTAAGCGCAAATCCAGTTATCGTATTTAATGCCTCGCTTTCAAGTTGCGATTTCAGATAATTAAATTTCTCAATGTTTGTCAAAGTAGGATTAAAATGTACAGCAGATTCGTACGAGTCCCAAAACGTTTGCCAATCTAAAATGTTGCCATTAAACTTCGGTAGTGATAACTTGGGTAAACGATGGTTACTAGTACTAGCTATATTTTGTGGAGCAATATGACCTGTATCAGAGCCATTGTAGCTTGTCTGTGGTTGAGCGGCGGATGAAGCATAGAATGGTGTTGCGTTTTGAAAGTTATCAACATTTGCCGGGCGGAAAGGAGGGCTTTCTACATTGAGTACTTGATATGAAGATTGTGTTACATTGGAACTTGGTGTACGGTTTTGACCAATTTGTATAAAATTACGAAAATGTCTAAGTTTAGTGTCTAAATTATTTGAATACTCATCTGTATCTACTATTTCACTTTCAACGTTGTCTGAATCCGTTGCTTCCAATATCTGTTTGTTCAGTTTTTCCAACAATTTCTTCTTTTGCGTAAGATTATCGTACGTTGCAAGTAGTTCATCTCTGTCGAAGTCCGTGTTTTCCTTCGCCTCCTCGAATTTTCGGAAAAGTCTCGTCACTGCACTTCTATTTCCAGTCCTAATATTCTTTAACTTCTCCATCGATGTAATCCTTTGGTTACGGCACTATAAATGTCGGGGCTAACTCAACTATCGTTATACAGAAAGAACACAACCATACAGTTTAACGTTTACTTCATATATTCGAGCTGCTAAGGCTACGTCCCGCATTGACGTCAACCCTAGATACAATAGGTAAAACGCGACGTCTTAACTCCCGCGGTATTCTCAACAAATACAGATAAATTAATGAGTCCTTAGAATTGTGGAAAAGGAGGGGATTTTATTCATCACTAGTACACTAGATACATTTATAAATATGTTTCTGTCAGTATCTTTTATGTTATCTTATTCATGTTAAGAAGAAAGGCAAGAAAAGGGGGAAGTACTTCAATTGACACAAGATGCTAGTCTTTAAAATATGTACCGGTATGTTTTGTACCAGGCTAGCATTTACTGGTACAAAACTACTACATGTACTATAAACCTGTAAATCTGGGACCATTTTGGTCTTTTAGCTTTGGTGCTTTCAGCCATAATTATCTTGAATGCATCATTGTGGTTCTGACTATAGTAGATACTTTGTTCTCTGGTTCAAGGGAAAATTTGTCAATGATAAATTTCAAATATTTAATAAATTCAACAAATGTAAGAGCCACGCATATTTGTTCTGTGATGTCCCGGGGAAAAGCTTCTCTCTCATGAAGCGACAAAGTCAAGCAGACATCAACTGTTTCTGCTTTACAAAAGATAAAATTTGAGTCCTTTATAAGGTCTCTAAGAATGTTTCTTTCAAAGAATAGCTGAAAATTTGATTTTTGATAAAATCCATCTCCCTTAACCAATGCATTGCAGCATAGGGAGATGCTTCCCCCTGTCGGCCTCTTTGACATTACATTTGGCAGACTTTTTCTATTCCATGTCATTTAAATGTTTGCTCCCAATAAAGTGTAAGGCAAGCGCTTTTAAGATCGTGATTTGAAATAAGTAAAGCCAGGAACAAACTCGGCGGATACGATCAAATTCCGGCACAATTTCGAATTTTTTTAAATAAAAAAAAAAAAATTCTGAAACACAAATAAAATTATTTGGGCGGTAAGTTTTTCAGTGGGTCGGGTGTCAATGCCAAACAAATGAAATTTTATTTTAGGCCTCATGTGAAACTCTTAATTATCTTGAAACAACAAAGAAATTTGAAGATTTATCTCCCTTTGACTGAAGACATAGACGTCTTCAACATGGTTGAAGTGGCAGAATCTATATTAGATTATAGATCTCATGTTAAAAGAAATTTGATATAAAATCATGAAAACTGATATGGACTGAACTGTGTGAATTGTTATCATACAGTGCAGTGCTACTTTATAATAAGGTGTTTGACAAAGGGTAATAAGTCTTTATTTGATACAAACACTGGACGAACACATATGGTATAAAACAGGTGTTACCATAACATGGAAACTAATATAAATCTTTTGTTATCTTTTGTTTTAATAAGGATAAATGATCCTAAAATATTAATATTTAGGAAATTACACTCCATCAGACACACCAAAAAAAAAAATTCATAATTTGTAATAATAATATATTTCACATTTTTTTTCAACAGTATGTCTTCAGTTCTGGACAACCCTCTAGTCCCTGTTGTCAATTCTTTCTACACCATTAATTAAAGATAGCACTGTACATATATATTGTTAGGACATTTTACATACAAACATCAACATTGTTAATAAAACAAAAACAAAAGTAAACAATAATTACCTGTGAATGTTTAAAATGAGATTTGATCATCTGCCCAATGTTCTGTGTATGTGATATGTCTAAAGCAGCATCAACTTCATCCAGGATATATAATGGTGCTGGTTTGAATAACAACATGGCTAAAATCAGGGACAAGGCTATCAGTGATCTAGAATGAGAATGGACAGGATATATAATGGTGCTGGCTTGAATAACAACATGGCTAAAATCAGGGACAAGGCTATCAGTGATCTAGAATGAGAATGGACAGAAAATATAATGGTGCTGGCTTGAATAACAACATGGCTAAAATCAGGGACAAGGCTATCAGTGATCTAGAATGAGAATGGACAGGATATATAATGGTGCTGGTTTAAATAACAACATGGCTAAAATCAGGGACAAAGCTATCAGTGATCTAGAATGAGAATGGACAGGATATATAATGGTGCTGGTTTGAATAACAACATGGCTAAAATCAGGGACAAGGCTATCAGTGATCTAGAATGAGAATGGACAGGATATATAATGGTGCTGGTTTGAATAACAACATGGCTAAAATCAGGGACAAGGCTATCAGTGATCTAGAATGAGAATGGACAGGATATATAATGGTGCTGGCTTAAATAACAACATGGCTAAAATCAGGGACAAAGCTATCAGTGATCTAGAATGAGAATGGACAGGATATATAATGGTGCTGGCTTAAATAACAACATGGCTAAAATCAGGGACAAAGCTATCAGTGATCTAGAATGAGAATGGACAGGATATATAATGGTGCTGGCTTGAATAACAACATGGCTAAAATCAGGGACAAGGCTATCAGTGATCTAGAATGAGAATGGACAGGATATATAATGGTGCTGGCTTAAATAACAACATGGCTAAAATCAGGGACAAAGCTATCAGTGATCTAGAATGAGAATGGACAGGATATATAATGGTGCTGGCTTAAATAACAACATGGCTAAAATCAGGGACAAAGCTATCAGTGATCTAGAATGAGAATGGACAGGATATATAATGGTGCTGGCTTAAATAACAACATGGCTAAAATCAGGGACAAGGCTATCAGTGATCTAGAATGAGAATGGACAGAATATATAATGGTGCTGGCTTGAATAACAACATGGCTAAAATCAGGGACAAGGCTATCAGTGATCTAAAATGAGAATGGACAGAATATATAATGGTGCTGGCTTGAATAACAACATGGCTAAAATCAGGGACAAGGCTATCAGTGATCTAAAATGAGAATGGACAGAATATATAATGGTGCTGGTTTGAATAACAACATGGCTAAAATCAGGGACAAGGCTATCAGTGATCTAAAATGAGAATGGACAGAATATATAATGGTGCTGGTTTGAATAACAACATGGCTAAAATCAGGGACAAGGCTATCAGTGATCTAAAATGAGAATGGACAGAATATATAATGGTGCTGGTTTGAATAACAACATGGCTAAAATCAGGGACAAGGCTATCAGTGATCTAAAATGAGAATGGACAGAATATATAATGGTGCTGGTTTGAATAACAACATGGCTAAAATCAGGGACAAGGCTATCAGTGATCTAGAATGAGAATGGACAGAATATATAATGGTGCTGGTTTGAATAACAACATGGCTAAAATCAGGGACAAGGCTATCAGTGATCTAGAATGAGAATGGACAGAATATATAATGGTGCTGGCTTGAATAACAACATGGCTAAAATCAGGGACAAGGCTATCAGTGATCTAGAATGAGAATGGACAGGATATATAATGGTGCTGGCTTGAATAACAACATGGCTAAAATCAGGGACAAGGCTATCAGTGATCTAGAATGAGAATGGACAGAATATATAATGGTGCTGGCTTGAATAACAACATGGCTAAAATCAGGGACAAGGCTATCAGTGATCTAGAATGAGAATGGACAGAATATATAATGGTGCTGGCTTGAATAACAACATGGCTAAAATCAGGGACAAGGCTATCAGTGATCTAAAATGAGAATGGACAGAATATATAATGGTGCTGGTTTGAATAACAACATGGCTAAAATCAGGGACAAGGCTATCAGTGATCTAAAATGAGAATGGACAGAATATATAATGGTGCTGGTTTGAATAACAACATGGCTAAAATCAGGGACAAGGCTATCAGTGATCTAAAATGAGAATGGACAGAATATATAATGGTGCTGGTTTGAATAACAACATGGCTAAAATCAGGGACAAGGCTATCAGTGATCTAAAATGAGAATGGACAGAATATATAATGGTGCTGGTTTGAATAACAACATGGCTAAAATCAGGGACAAGGCTATCAGTGATCTAAAATGAGAATGGACAGAATATATAATGGTGCTGGTTTGAATAACAACATGGCTAAAATCAGGGACAAGGCTATCAGTGATCTAGAATGAGAATGGACAGAATATATAATGGTGCTGGTTTGAATAACAACATGGCTAAAATCAGGGACAAGGCTATCAGTGATCTAGAATGAGAATGGACAGAATATATAATGGTGCTGGCTTGAATAACAACATGGCTAAAATCAGGGACAAGGCTATCAGTGATCTAGAATGAGAATGGACAGAATATATAATGGTGCTGGCTTGAATAACAACATGGCTAAAATCAGGGACAAGGCTATCAGTGATCTAGAATGAGAATGGACAGGATATATAATGGTGCTGGCTTGAATAACAACATGGCTAAAATCAGGGACAAGGCTATCAGTGATCTAGAATGAGAATGGACAGAATATATAATGGTGCTGGCTTGAATAACAACATGGCTAAAATCAGGGACAAGGCTATCAGTGATCTAGAATGAGAATGGACAGAATATATAATGGTGCTGGCTTGAATAACAGCATGGCTAAAATCAGGGACAAGGCTATCAGTGATCTAGAATGAGAATGGACAGAATATATAATGGTGCTGGTTTGAATAACAACATGGCTAAAATCAGGGACAAGGCTATCAGTGATCTAGAATGAGAATGGACAGAAAATATAATGGTGCTGGCTTGAATAACAACATGGCTAAAATCAGGGACAAGGCTATCAGTGATCTAGAATGAGAATGGACAGAATATATAATGGTGCTGGCTTAAATAACAACATGGCTAAAATCAGGGACAAGGCTATCAGTGATCTAAAATGAGAATGGACAAAATATATAATGGTGCTGGCTTGAATAACAACATGGCTAAAATCAGGGACAAGGCTATCAGTGATCTAGAATGAGAATGGACAGGATATATAATGGTGCTGGCTTAAATAACAACATGGCTAAAATCAGGGACAAGGCTATCAGTGATCTAGAATGAGAATGGACAGGATATATAACTAAAATCAGGGACAAGGCTATCAGTGATCTAGAATGAGAATGGACAGGATATATAATGGTGCTGGCTTAAATAACAACATGGCTAAAATCAGGGACAAGGCTATCAGTGATCTAAAATGAGAATGGACAGGATATATAATGGTGCTGGCTTAAATAACAACATGGCTAAAATCAGGGACAAGGCTATCAGTGATCTAGAATGAGAATGGACAGGATATATAATGGTGCTGGCTTAAATAACAACATGGCTAAAATCAGGGACAAGGCTATCAGTGATCTAAAATGAGAATGGACAGGATATATAATGGTGCTGGCTTGAATGACAACATGGCTAAAATCAGGGACAAGGCTATCAGTGATCTAGAATGAGAATGGACAGGATATATAATGGTGCTGGCTTAAATAACAACATGGCTAAAATCAGGGACAAGGCTATCAGTGATCTAAAATGAGAATGGACAGAATATATAATGGTGCTGGCTTGAATAACAACATGGCTTAAATCAGGGACAAGGCTATCAGTGATCTAGAATGAGAATGGACAGGATATATAATGGTGCGGGCTTGAATAACAACATGGCTAAAATCAGGGACAAGGCTATCAGTGATCTAGAATGAGAATGGACAGGATATATAATGGTGCTGGCTTGAATAACAACATGGCTAAAATCAGGGACAAGGCTATCAGTGATCTAAAATGAGAATGGACAGGATATATAATGGTGCTGGTTTAAATAACAACATGGCTAAAATCAGGGACAAGGCTATCAGTGATCTAGAATGAGAATGGACAGAATATATAATGGTGCTGGCTTGAATAACAACATGGCTAAAATCAGGGACAAGGCTATCAGTCATCCTTAAACCTCTGGCAGTACATGAAGATCAAGGATTACAAGTACTGTTGATAATCTAATGATCAATAACGGCACATAATCAGCAATATCGACGCATAATCAGCAATATTGATAGCCAGGCATATTTATAACATGTTTGAATAGAAATTCATATTGTGTTTTCTTAACAATTTAAGACAAGAGTGCACACGCTGAAATGTCTCGCCTTCTTTACTTATCATTGATATTATGTTGATAGTCCTAAATATAAAGCTTTATTACAACTGTCACATAAACTTAACATTAACCAAGTAAACTAAACATTGACCAATGAACCATGAAAATGAGGTCAAGGTCAGATGAACCATGCTAGGCAGGCATGTACAGCTAACAATTCTTCCATACAACAAATATAGTTGACCTACTGCTTATAGTTTAAGAAAAACAGACCAAAACTCAACTTAACACTGAGCAATGAACCTTGAAAATGAGGTCAAGGTAAAAAAAACCTGCGTGACTGACTAAAAGATCATAAAATATTTCCATACACCAAATATAGTTGAACTATTGCGTATAGTATTAGAAAAAAAAGACCAAAACTCAAAAACTTAACTTTGACCACTGAACCATGAAAATGAGGTCAAGGTCAGATGACACCTGCCAGCTAGACATGTACACCTTACAATCATTCCATACACCAAATATAGTAGACCTATTGCATACAGTATAAGAAAAACAGACCAAAACACAAAAACTTAACTATAACCACTGAACCATGAAAATGAGGTCAAGGTCAGATGACACCTGCCAGTTGGACATGTACACCTTACAGTCCTTCCATACACCGAATATACTAGCCCTATTGCTTATAGTATCTGAGATATGGACTTGACCACCAAAACTTAGCCTTGTTCACTGATCCATGAAATGAGGTCGAGGTCAAGTGAAAACTGTCTGACGGGCATGAGGACCTTGCAAGGT